GCCGCTAAAAGTGGACTTTCAGTGGCGATTTTTTTGTTGTCACTGAAAGTCATCATTTAAAATCTTTTTTGTTCAATCAACAAACATAATAAAGCAATATTATATGATATTTTCGAAGAAATTGGAATGAAAAGTAGAATAGAATTAGCTGTTAAACTTATGTATGGTATGCAGACGAAATTGTGATGTAATTTTATTTAATACGAATTTTGAAAAGACCAAAATATCCTTTTTATAAAATTTCTCTATCTCCATCCAACAATTTGGAAAGAAACTGGGGGAAAAAAAATCTCAATACCCAGTCTCCTTCCTTCACCTTTTCTTCTTCAAATTTGAGAGTGCGTGAACAATGGATTTCAACCCAAGAGAACAAGAAACTAAGGATATTGAATGAACAGATACACCAAAGATCGAATGCCAAGAACAACCTACAGAGATTGAACAAATAATGACTAGAGAAGGTAATAGTTAAATGGACCAGAGAAGACCAAAGAGTTGTTGTTTAGGTGAAGAAGTAGTTTTTGATTGAGGGTTGAGAGGTGAAGTGGAACACCCCTTACAACTAACAATAACTACACAAATTTAAACAAGCACTCTTCTAGTGCTATTTATTAATGGGAAAATTTATTTTGACCCACACATATGTAAATCATATTATTAAATTTTTAATATATACAATTTTCTCATTCATTTTGCAACACCTCACTTTTATATACTAATAGATCATTTTTAACGCCTGTGAATCACTAACACCAGGTTTCCATCCTGGGAAAAGACAGGGAATTTTTTTTTTCCTTTAACATTAGAATCCGTTGATCAAATATTTCAAAGCTTCAGATAACTGATGAGTGATCCAATATCAACCCTGCTTTCAACTTAATCTATTATCATCTAAAATAATTTCATACTATACAATCTTATAATATTATATTAAAAATAAAGCAACGCTCTTGGTTGACAGCATATACGTGCACCTGGCAATGCTCACCTCCTTCTTCTAAAGGATACAAAATAATATTTCCATAAAGCAAGTAAAGTTACTTGCCCGAATATTTTACTATACAATTTACAGAATTATAACAGGTATCTCTGCTCTTCAACCAGCCCACCTTCTTCTTAAACAACCTCCTTGTCTTTCAGGCTACTAGCTTTCACTGTTCATCATAAATTGGGGGGTGAGATTCCGAAGAATCCCCGTAGTAGTAATTTCCATCAAACAAATGTGCAGATCACATAAAACATGCAAAACAAGCCATATGGAACAAAACCTTGCAAGCTAATGCAATTAAGCATTTATGCGCAATGACAGATAGACAAGCTGAATAAATAATGCGCAAATAATTGGCAATCACTGCCGCGCAAATAATTGGCAATCACTGCCCCATGTCTGTTAGACAAGCTGAATAAGTAAAGCGCAAATAATTGGCAATCACTGCCCCATGTCTATCAGCTGCACGTGATCACGGCTAAATAATCCTGCAAGGAATTAAGGATTACATGTTCTCATGCTTTTTGAATAGCAATATGGCACAAACAGACATGCAGCAATCATACACAAGTGTAAAGGAGGAAAGAACTACTACCTGAACCTTCTGCTTCAAAATCAAACCTTACTTGTTTCCTTTCTCTTAGCTTCTTCGGTAGGCTTTTGCAAATATCAAAACCTATTATATTAGTAAGGGTAGGTTAATGCTTGATCCAACATAATTTATAAATTAAATAACTCTCTTTAAATCCCAATCTCTTTCAATCTCTACCCTTACTTAATAGTTGGTCATCCTGGACAATTTTTCTTATTTGAACTATTATCTTTAGAACGCTTCCTTCCTTATCTCAACCCATAGTATTACCTTACTTAGTAACTAGCATCTCAATCAAACTATACCACGTCCCTAAAACATACCAGCACCACTTCATTTGAAGTTTCTAAACTCAATTTAATAACCTACAATACTTGTTCAACAACTGGAGATACTAAACAGTAACTATATATATTTAGTTTTCATTACAGCACATCCCTATACACATGTATGTTTATATCTCCAATGATTCACATAACCTTGCACTTAATCTGGAAATATTTTCCAAATTTACGAACATACTTGAACATTCATAATTCAACCCACATATCTCTCTACATTTGAAAACTCAACTATATGTCCTCTATCTTTGACTTCTAATTTTAATCATTTGAATTCAAATCGAGCAAGTTCAAATTCTTTCAACAATGAATTAGCACCCTTGAATGTTTTCAACGTGCTTATAATTTATAATAACAACATTCCTTTCTTACTGATATGAAATTCCAGCTTCATAAACATCATTCTATCCACCATTTGAAAGTCCCCAGTTTAAAATTACAGTTCCTCTTGAAACCCACTTGCCCGAAAATACTTTCCATATATCTATATATATAATTAAATAATTGCCTTGTGATTTAGTTTCAGCTCCCGCATCCTAACATTAACATCACGCCACATTCGGCAAGTCTGACATTTTCCAGATTGAAATATACTCCCAAAATAATCACCAAGTCACCAAAAGAAGTCAACGTTGTGCAGTCCCATATATATATATATATATATATATATGTGGCATAATCTCTCTTCAATTTCATTAAAACCGACGCTAAAATAAAAACAGAACATAGAGTTAAATTTTAGATCACAGACCCAATTTTTTAGACAGTCATAAACCAGAAAAATCATTCACATGGAGTCCGAACCAACCTCTAAGATCTTCACCCGAATATCATCATCAAGATTCTAATCCACCTAGAAGTTTGACAGCACCGAGAAGGAATCAAAGGTCTGACTTCAAATCTTATAAACCAGAGTCAGTCAACCAGGAAACAAAGAAGTAATCAACATGCAACTTCGTATTCATGTATTACACGTTTCCTCTCTCCTAATACCTCAAACCCGATGCCTTTTAACCCAGAAATGCCATGCTCTGTTCGGAAATCATGAAACAGCGGTAATAGTAACGTGTAGGCTGGAAGATTAACGCTAAACACTTCCATCTTCTCACAAAACGCGATTTCATCACCTATCCTCCACTTTCCCTCACTTCCTCTCACTAACCCGAACTCAAACCCATCATCAACTTCATATTCAGCCTCCCAAAGCAGAAAATAACGATGGAAGTGTGCTTAAGAGACTCACCTTGATCAATTAATCGGTTTGCATGCAATTGAATCACCTCCGATCACCTTCTCGCTGGTAGCTTCTTCTGCGTTCTCTCTCTCGTTCTCTCCCTCTACGTTGCAGAACAGAATGAGATGAAAAAGGAGGGTAGGATCGGTTTGGAGGTTAAAGAGACAGAACACGTGGATGACCAGCTGATAATTGAGGGAGTGAATCAGGTGGCAAACAAAGAAGGCAGCACGTGTACTACATGGTTGCTGAGTCATTTTGCCCTCCTAAATAATTATTCCTCCAATCTTATTCCTTCTCCTATTTTTCTGAAATATAAGATATATCTAGAAATTAAACCAAAATATCATAAATGGATTTTTCTTATCCATTAGCTTCTTTGACCCATAAAATAATTTTCCTAAGAAATAACCCATTTTTCTATGAAAATAGCTTTAAAATCATCTAAGCCAGTTTTTTGGGGAATGAACTTTTCCAAAATATTTCTAAACCTTGAAAAATCAATATTCCATAATTTTCCCCAATTGTGATTGAGCTATTAAATAATTTTAATGAACTTTCTCTTTTCTACTCATCCTGAGTCAGAAAATTCGGGATGTTACACATTTATTATTAGGCGGACTATTATTTTCTTGGAAAAGCGTAACACAATGAAAGTGATTTGCACATTTTTCCTTGGTTAAAAAATTTTAGGCAGAAGTTCAGATTCAACCCAAATCAAAGGCGGAGTGTTTGATCCAACTCCTCCTAAGTGATATCATGTTGGGTAGGGAAAATCTACAGCATACCCTCAAACGTTTACTTAGACACCCCTAATTTAGGATGCTTTCTCAAATGTTGTGATGGGAAGTCGAATCCACGGGCAATGAGATGAAGTGATTTATAAATATAATTAAGAGAGTAATAGCTGTCAATTAAACATTCCATCTCGATGCCCAGGAAATATAAGAAGAAGAAACAAAGAATGAAGAGGCCCAAAAGTAAGAGTCCACCCCCGGGATCCTACCCATCCAGACACTAGAGAGGATTTCGTCAGTAGAGAGAGGATTCCACTATGACAAATCACCAGGAAAAAACAAAAAAATGCCCAATCCCCAATCAATCAAATATCAAAGTATAACGTATAACGTAAAAACACGTCATCATTTAACATGACGACGAAAAAGAAAAAGAGGTGTTACAAAGTATCCCAAAATAGTGAGATGAGTACACTTGGCCTATTACAAGTAATGCTTAGACTAAGTAATAAAATATTTCGTTACGACTTTTCCAGATTTAGTTTCGTATATTTAAGCTGTACCGAAAACTAAAAACAATTATATGAATAGTAATATGAGAATAAAAATTTCCAAGAATGTGAAGTTGATCCTTTTTAGGAGTTTATGGCTCAAAATAATTCTTATTTAATCTATAACGCATACTGAAACAACGCATTAGTGCCTTAACACAATAATTATGCCCTTGTGAGGGCAATCTTTAAGGCGTATATGAGGGTATAACTGAAGAGATGGGTCAGTCTCTATCTAATGTACTTAGCCCCCAGTTGATCCTAACATGTATAGAGAGATTCTTGCACACACTGGGACTCTGGGAGTGCCACATCATCCCAACTCTGTCCAATCAAAACACCACAAGTCAGCTTATTTTTATCCTTGCTGGCACCCTGACTTGGCAGATCACCAATTTATGAAAAACAAAATAAAAAAAAAAAATTAAACTTTTTAAAATGAAAAAGGACGCCAAAATGAAATTGAAACGGGGAATGGATTTCATCAGGGGAGCTCGTCTCTAACCCCTTTGCCCTCTCTTCTACAGCTTCTCCCCGGCAACATCGACTCCGCTGTGGCTGGCGACCAGATACCTGAATGGTCTGATGAGAAGGAAACGCCTTTTATCCTTCCTCATAACCAAAGGCGCGCGACAGTGGCGGCGGTGATTCCCCTATAGACAGCGACCAGATGCTTGATCGAAACCATGAGAACTGCAACCACTCTCATCCTTTCTCATAACCACAAGTTGTAAGTTTCATTTTCTCCTCCTCCTTCAGCGTCGCTTCCTCATCGACAACGCTGCAAAAATTTCAGTTTGAAGCTCGATTGATAGAAGAGGCAACGATGTTAGGGCTAATCTGAAACTAGGCTTCTGAGTTTTATGTTTATTCATAATGTCTCCAATTCATGGGCCTATGCTTTGGGGCAATTTTTTTTTTTGATAAGTTCATTATTTCCAACTTTATATTTCTGAGAAACCCAATTGATATGTGCTTTGATGCAATTATTTTGTGATATGTTCATTATTTCCAACTTTATATTTCAGTTGATAAACTAGAGCTTCAACATTTATTACTAGGTATTTTGGCTGCATTATCATGACTCTGCTGATGAAACATAAGTGCATTTCCTTGAAAGAGAAAAGGAATATTTCGTTTGCTGTCTGTTACTTAGCACTATGGTTATTTGGTTATTCTTTTTTGGCCAGAAGTTATTCAATTAATCTTAAGTACATATATATTTGAAATTTTCTAATATTATTTTGCCATATTTCTCAATCATACCGCATCAATCCTTGAAAATTTAAATTGGCTTCTTTTATATGGCTCTGTCTCAGAAATGTAGCTATCCTTGCAAGGTTGAGGGATGTGGCGTTTCGTTCAGATTTGTTTCTGATTATAGCAAGCACAGGCAGAAAAGTGGGCACTTTGTTAAGTCACTTGACTGAGATAAAACATCCATTTGCCATCAGATTGTTTTTGTAACAATATGCACATACGTAGCTAGTCTCAGGATATCATGTCTGACTTGATATCTTCTGGTTAGGTGTAAAGTTAGGGATAGAATGGTTGTTTTGTAGGTTATTGTAATCCAATGTATCTGAAGGCGGTGAAAGTGGAGTAGTTTAGAGAATTTTTCGTCTTTTTGGATTATTTAACAACAGATTTGGTAGCAGTGGTAGCTTCAAGTTCTCTAAGAGAGAAGAAATATCATATTGTTGGTTGGTCACAGGCTCTGCACTCTAGAGTAGCAAATTTGATTTAGCATATGAGAAGACACTGTTGTGTTTTTATAATTGAAAATATTATGGCTTGTATCATATTTCCATGTAATTGCAATGAGAGTAGATGTTGTAATACATTCCTATTTTCCTCAATGCTACCACTCACCATTTTTCCTCTCCTTAATTAATTTATTGCAATTCTTGTATGAGTTGTGGGTAGGAAAACCTGGTAGCCATCTTGGTACTAAAGAATGTTGCAGATTTTGTTTATGGCAACTCATGGATATGTTAGAATGAATGGGTTGAAATGGATTTGGACATTGAGAAAAACTTAGGCAAGGAATTAACTTTGCACATGGTAATTTTTTTATATAGGCTTCAAAATTTCATCTCTCTGATTGTTCCAGATCTAAACAACTTACAAATATGTACCTGTTGAATACTTGCAAATAAAACATAATAGATAAATCATCTAAAGGGAGAAGCTAATTAAATTAAGTGTTTTTACCATTGGACAAGTGTTTTTAGCATAAAGTCTTTGCAATAATTAAACACAAGATGACCTCTTTTTCACCATCTAAAATACTTACATTGATCTTAAAAAAAAAAAAGGGAATGTTTGTATTAAAATAGCTGGGAATCAAAAACCAACCAGCTTATATAACCTCGTTATACATCAAAATAGCTGGGAACAAAAAGTCAGCCAGCTTACACAAAATATACAAAAATAAAGCCAAAAAAAAAAAATCTTCTTCCATTTGCTTTGCTTGAAGAGGATTGAAGGCAAACTATTGGTTTTGTGTTAACATAGTTGGTGGTCTCCAAGCCGATGAATGTGCTTCCTAAAAATGAATTAAAATATATTTAAAAATAACTGTAATTAATTAACATATTTTAAGAAGATGTTGATATGAAAATAATATAACTAGTTGATTTATACTTGATTTAAATTGTTGCTTGTGTCAATCATATGAAATGGACTTCTAATGTTCCAAGTACCATAAAAAGCATGTGGGATCATAGAATGACTACTTTAAACAACTTGAGTAGTACTGACCTGTAATATAACAAACATATTCAATAAGAATAATTAAAAAATAATTACAATGTTTATTAATCTTGTAGACATAGGTACTAACCATTGGATATGTGTAACCAAAGCTTTGGGAAAGTGAAGTTTGCTCTGGTGCAGTTGAAGCAGCATGTTCCACTCCTTTTTGTTTTTCTACAAAAAATTGAAATTTAGAAACACATCACTGATATATGGGCATATACAAGTATTTATAAAATTAATATCTTACTTGATTTTCCTTGTTTTTCAAAATGGCCCTTTCTTCTACCACTTCCACCCCTTTTTGGCTTTGCTTTTGGGGGATCAAGAGAATTTGGCCTACTTGAGATGCATTTTGAATGGTGGCATGGATTTCTTTATTCTTTTCCACATTGTTGCTTTTATTCAAATCACATAGATGTTCTTGAACTTGTTGAGATCCATTGTTGACAACATCCCACATGATATCTTGAGTTTCCTTGTGATCTTGTGAGGCCAACACAAAGTTATAGAAAGAACGCACAATAGAATCGATACACAATTTTTGGATCTTCACTAGTTGCATATTTTTCTTTATGCTCACAGTCAGTAAACTTTGCATTTTTTGACCATCGCTTTAAGAAGTATTTATCTGATACCCTTGTTACACACTTAATGTTATAAACTCTTAATGCATGCGAACAAAGAATACCCATAGATTCAAATTTTTTGCAACTAAGTAACATTCTCATTAGAGGAATTAAATTGCACAACCCGCCTCTTTGACTCTTTTCCATCCACCCACAGCTCATAATAAAAGATGTCTCCATCTCTTATAATCTCTTTAAACAAAGTCCCTACTCCATCCAAATATTCCCTCTCAAACAATTTGAAAATTTTTTTAGTATAAATCTTTGATGCATGGCATAAAGTCTTGTTCCTATTGATAGCACATGAAGGAATGGATTGACTATTGTGAAAATCTTCTTCACCCTCAGAGCTTCTCCATTTTTCTACTATCTTTTTAAAAGCTAAGAAGAACTCTGTGAGAGAAGTTTTTTTTGTAGATATTTCTCCCAAAACACTATTAGTGCTCTCACTCCCTTGAGAAGATTTTATATTTACAGAAAACATGTCTTTACCAAGTGCAATTGATCATTTATGCCGAATTGTATACATTCTATTCAACCACTTATGGTCATTGAGTTCAAATTTCCTAATCATTTCATTCCACGTGATTTCAAATTCTTCTTCTGAGTCACACATTCTCATACACTTTTGAAAATATGATTGAAAATCACTATCACAATTCAGAGAACCCAAATGTGATGGGGCATTTTTAGATATATGCCACAAGCATAAGCGATGCCTTGTATTAGGAAATATCTTTTCAATCGCTTTAACCATAGCAGCATCTTGATCAGTCACAATAGTCTGTGGGGGTTGATTTCCTATAGATTTTAAAAATTGATCAAACAACCATTCAAAGGACTCTGCTGATTCATTCATCAAAAAAGCACAACCAAACATTACATTTTGCCAATGATGATTTATTCCAACAAAAGGTCCACAAATTAAGTCATACTTATTTGTATGATAAGTTGTGTCAAAAACCACTACATCCCCAAAATAATCATAATCAATTGTTGATCTCCCATCCCTCCAGAAAACATTTGTCAAATGTAATTCTTCATCAAATTGAACACTGTAATAAAACATTGGATCTTCAGCTTGATGACTTTGTAAGAGATTAACTAAACTTTTTCCATCCCCAACTTCTATTAGTTTCAACATTTGCTTGTTGACATAATTATAACAATCTTTTTTTGAAAAATCCAATATTATCATATCCATGTGTTTTTTCACCTAAATAACTCCACACATCTTTCGTTCTGATTCCAGCAGTCACCATGGAATTAATGACGTCACCTTTAGCGTTAGGAATATTCCTAGCAGAACACATAAGGTGCCTATGCTCTTGTTTTACAAGTTCATGATTATGTTCAGTAATCAACTTAGTTTATTTTCCATAACCCATCCACTTCAATAGTAAACCAAACCATAGCTTCGCAATTTGTCCTTGCATTCATTTTAGTAAATAAAGTGCTGCTACCTTCATCCAAATATTTTGTCCCTTGTTTTGCACACACATATTCTTTTGTACGAATCTTCTTAGTTCCAGTAACATATGTTTGTTTCTATTTTCTAATCAAAAAACCCAACTAATATGCATATTTTGTGTACAAAGCATATGCCTCATCTTCATTATTTACAATTTGCCCCAAGTAAATGTCTGACTCAGGTTGATTAGCTATTTCCATTCTGTGCAATATCAAAGTTAATTGAACACCCTTTATAAAAATAATATATATAATAATAGTAATTGATAAACTAAAAAATATAAAACTAAACTTATAAATGAAAATCACACAATATGCCAATTTCCAAATGTTGGTCGATAGTTTACAAGCCACAACGCTCAAAATCAACCAATGAATATCTACATTAACCAACAAATTCATATTTGAGAGTTTACAAGTGTTAGTTTCAGTTCCTCACGGCTTCATATAATACCAAAAACACAAGAAGCTTTCATTTACATTAAGAATAAACTATTTCATTATTAGCTAATTTGGGACAAACTACAAACAGATTAAACTTGGGATCAAATATAAAAAGACAGATAGCTCCCTTAATCTGCAGAAACTAAATCAAACTCGATCCAAATCACTGAATCTAGAATGCAGAAACTTTTGAATGTTTAGAAAAATAATACAGAGAAGGATTATACCAAGGCTGAGCAGCAATGATAGATCAAATACAAGGGGTGAAACAGGGGAGAAAAAAACTTATCACAGATAACACATTTCTTCCATGAACTAAGAATTCTTTGCCCAATACAAAGTCTGGAGAAGACAGAGCACAATGGGGAGCGATGGAAGGCTTTCTGCTAGTGACGCGATTCTCCGCTGACGATACTATCTTCCGCTAGCGGCATAACTCTCTGCTCACAAAGAAGATGCAGCAAGGTCCAAAGCCAGGGTAGGGACACTCCTTGAGCGTTTTCGATTTCTTCCGCCTGGGTTAGGGCACGATTGATCAAGTCTTTCAATTCAAGTCTTTCAATCTCTCTCTCTCTCTAGTCGAAGCATGGCGCGTGGGAAAATGAAAACGTTCTGTGCGTCTTGTTTTTTCATTTTTCAATTTGAGGTTTATTTTCCTCAAATTAAATTAGTGAATCTGCCAAGTAAGGATGCCAGCAAGGATTAAAAATAAGCTGTGATTGGACAGAGCTGGGATAACGTGGCACTCCCAGTGTATGTAAGAATCTCTCCATGTACAATATAACTGTAAAGTGATGAGTTAGCTTTACTTTTAAGAATGTTGTTGGTGAAAGAAGTTGAAAAATTTTGATAGTTCCAGATTCCTTGGCTCATATGTCGGTCTCATAAATATATTTATATATATAACATTGAGAACTATTAGGATTAATTGAATTGTATATATAAAGCTTAAAATCAGCTCGTATGACTTTATAAAAGGGTCCTTATTTGGTATTCATCACATTGATGCTTGCACGCACTCATTGCAGTAATAAAATATGAACCATTCAAAATCTAATTTGAATGATGTGTATTCAAAATTTTTAATTTGCAATTTTCAATCATACATTTATTTAAAAAAAAAAACTACCTCATGTCCTTAATACAAGACCTATTTGATTAATTTAAATAGATTAATAAAACGAGTTAAGTTAGTTATTTGTAATAAATAGATGTTGTTTTTCTTAAAATATTTTTGTTAATCAAGTGCATTGGCTTGAACTACTACTATTACAAGGACAATCTTGAAAAAAATAGA